AGGGTAGCATAAGCAAATGGATGGAAATGGTAAAAGGAAAGATAGAATGAGGCATACTGAGTAGACTAGGTTGGCTGGAATATAGAATATGTGAAGGAAAATGGGTTGTGTTGGTTAAGGTAAGTTTAGGTTGGATTGTGGAAGGTCTAGAATGCCAGAAAGGAACTTCATCAGAAATATAACCAGAATATGAGAAATAGACTTGATTTGATAGGCAAATTTGATTGCAGGTTTCTGAGGAGCGACAGGATAAACACAGGTGCACTAGGAAAACATTTTGACAGTAGTGTGAGGGATGGACCGAAGAGCAGTAACTGGGTATAAGAAGCCCTGATGGGGGTTACTGATTACAAAAGTTCAAGGGAGGACTGTCTTTAGTGGCTGCAGTGGTAATGGGCACATCCACTGATATTGCCAGGGTAGAATCAACAGAACCTGACAACTGATTGAAGACCCCAAAGTTTTAAGCCTGTGTGTCTGAAGGATGGGCATGCCATCAACAGAACTAGAAAAGTTAGGCAAAAATACAAGGTGTTTTTGTTTTTTTTTTGGTGAGGGTGGAGGGGAGGGAGGAATGGGGAAAAGTGATGAGTCCACCTTTGGCCATAATGAACTTGACCTGCTATAAAGATAGACCCATATGCCAAAGGATGCTGGAAATGCTAGGGAGGGTTGTAGCATAGCTTTAGATTTGGGAATCAAAGAAGTAATAACAGACCAATGGAATCATGAAGGATCTGAAAATTACATTATGAGGAATATAGCTGGATGGACTGAAAATGTCTGGCCAGAAAGAAAATACATAGCAAGGCTATGATAGATGCCTTTAAACATTTGAAATATTGCCATGTGGAAAAGGGATGTCAATTATATATTGCTTCAGGTAAAAGAATTAGGATTAATGAACAGAAGTTATGGGGTGATAGATTTTGACTCAACATAATGAACATTCAAACAATGAGCATGCCCTTCCTTGGCACTTGGCACTGAGCAGAGGTTGGATGACTGCCTGGTAAGGGTATCGAAGAAAGGATTCTTGCACTGGGTGGATGGTGATGGTGGATGTTGGGCTTCTATGGTTTCTTCCAATTCTCCATGACTGTACACTTTTCAAACTTGGGACATTAATATCTTTCAAGGATGTGTATAAAGCAGGTAAATATCTTCTTCCACTGAATCACTTAAAGTAAGGTTTGATAGAATTAGTCAATAACATGGCACTGTTATCAGGCAGTTAACAACAAAAGGTGAAAAAACTAAAAGTTAAAAGTATACTCTTCTCAATTTAAATGTTTTTTTTTTCCTCAATTTAAATATAATAGAAAAAGTGAAACATTCCCTTGAAAGAGTTTGGTAAAGCCTTACTATAAACTTTATATAATCTTGCTTACCATTCTAAACAAGATTCTCTAACTAAAAACACTTTGTACTGCTCAGAAATAAAGTCTGAGAGGCAATATTCAGACACAGATTACTCATCTATGAAAAGGTCAGATACAATATATGGCCCAAGCTACTCATGTCAAGTAAGATTGATTTTATGGGGTTTTTAAAATTAGTATTGCTGTTGAAACAAAAGGTAGAAGCTGTGGTTGGGGTTACAACTGAAATGAATGCAGACTTTAGCAAATATCCATGGTGTAATGGTGAGGAATTGAAGCATGATTTGAGTAAGTGACCATCAGCTGGGTATTACGCTAATCTGTTCCCCAAAATACTTTGCTGTATTGCTTTCCACCCCCACCTCCCCTTTACCCTTCCCCCTCAGATCTGTCATGATCTTTTCCAAACAAAAACTAACTTTACCATTGATGCTCTGTTTCCTTTTGAAAAAGGAGGCTGCAACGCGAAGCTAATTGATTGTAATAAAGATTGCTTTTGATATTCATTTCCCCATTCCAAAATCTCCCCTCCTTCTGGATTTGTTTACCAGTCTTTTAGACCCATCCTCTGATCTATAAATATCAGCAGCCTCTGGTTTACCTACCCAAATATACAATTCTGGCTCTAATCTGAAATCTAGCATATGAATCCTTATCCATACCGTACCTCCTATATTTCTTATTAGTTTATCTTAGAAATATAGTATGATTTGCTTTTTGGAACATATTGGGGGGGCACATTTTGGAGATAATAGAGAAGGGCCTCCTTGTAAGGTCTTTTACACTTTTGGAAACTCAAAATTGTTTATAGTTTAAGTTAATCATCATGTCAACCATTCATCTGTTGCAATGTCAATGCAGCTGAGAAAGACTCTTGTTTAAAATGCTGTATACTTGGGGCAGCTAGGTAGCATAGTGGATAGAGCACCAGCCCTGGAGTCAGGAGGATCTGAATTCAAATCTGATCTCAGACATAAGCTGTGTGACTCTGGGCAAGTCACTTAACCTCAACTGCCTGAAAAAAAAAAATGCCGTATACTTATTAGTTCTAAAAATGCATGAAATCATCAAAAAAAAAAGTAGTCCAAAAGATGCATGAATTTAGAAAAATATTTAAACTTTTGAGAAGTTTCAAAAGTTAAACAAGTATGAAAATTCATCTTTGTCTCAATCATAAAACCTCTGAGTAGACCAAAACTTACCTAAGTATCTTTGTGCTTCAATTTTTTTCATTTCACAGTTTGCAACAGGTACTTGTTTCTAATATGTTGGCATAGCTGACAGGAAAACCAATTTACCTCAGACAAAAATATCACTAGCTCAAGAAATAAAAAGTGAGACTGTCAGTCTCTGGCATGACCCACATAAACCAAACACCTAAACACTGAAAGGAAGGAAAAGTTACCTCAAGAAGCACATAAAATATAAATGTGCCACAAGGAGATTAACCATTAAAAGTTAGCATCATGCAACGACTACAATATGTTTCATTGAAAAATGATCAATTCTACTGTAGTTTTCAGTGCACTAGTATTATATATCATAAAATTAATCCCAACATCGATCTACTTCATTAGTGGGCCTTATCTTCGATTCAGTTGATAAACATGTCAGTGGACTGACTTGTAGACACTACTTAGGAATCGGTAGAATACACTGAAGCACAAAAACAAAGGAGCTAACTGGGCTGAATTAGGGTAGCTTTTGCTCTTTAGGTAAAGTTTTTAGACACATCAAAATCACTGAGCTGTAGAATTGGATGGGAACTCAAAGGTCAGTCAGTATAACCTGTACCCAAACAGAAATTCCTTTTGCAAAATCCCCAAGTGGGTATCTGGATTTTGCTTGAAAGCCCTCGGTGATGGGGCATCCACCACACTCCATTCCAGTTTTGGACAGAAATTATTCAGAGGTTCTACTCCACACTGAGTCCCAAATCTACCCCTTTGCAATTTCTACCCATTACTTCTCTATTCTGCCCTCTGGGGCCACGTGGATGAAGTCTAATGCCCCTCTTTCACACGACAGCCTTTCAAATATCTGAAGAGAGTCTTCAGATTTCAGAGAAGGTCTTCTCTTTGATGTGACCCCTAAGGATTTTTTCTAAGTTCAACATCCTGAGCTTTGCTTACCACCCTGGTTTACCCACCTCTGAACATGTTATTACTTTTAGCTTATATCTTTCTAAAAACCATGAGAAATGAGCAACAATTTAGTGCATTTCCCATTCAACAATGTCACCTTTCTAGAAATGCATTTTCTTTTGTACAGTGAGTAGGTACATAATTTAATAAAAATAATCTAGAGAAAAACAGTGCAAAGTATTTTTTTCTTTGACTCTGGAGCCAAGGGAGGGGAAAAAAATCTATTATAAAATAAACATGTTGAGATTTGTAGCCTTTCACAATTCTTTTATGTAATTACAGTTTTATGATTTCTCTCTCATGTCTTTCTTATTTTTCTGTGAATATTTTATTTTATGATAGGCAGTCTGTAAAAATGAGGTGGTTCCCTCTCTCCCTCCCCCAATAGCTGATGTGCTTTAGGCAATGTTCAGTTTAACTTCTAGACAATAAAGACAGACTCCAGCTTTATTTGATTTTTTAATAAACCATAAAATTTAAATAGTCAAATAAAAAGAAACAAAAATAGATATTTAAGTCAAGCACTAATTTCTGTCTTTTGTTCCACCACTGGGCAACAGAGACTTGGGCTTATAAAGGATTACAGGACTACAGAAGAGAACAACACATTTAGATTGCTGGTATAATAAACCAAAAAAAAAATTTTTTTAAAGGGAAAAGGCTTGGTAAAACTTACTTTCAAATCTTAGAGTAAGGCTTTTTTTTTTTAAGCTCACATGAGCCCACTGTCTGAGATCTTAAATTGGTCTCATCAGTGGAGAATGACACCACCACTTTCTGCAAAGTATTTTCTTTCCTCACTGTGGTTTAGAAATAGTCCACGCATTTTGACCCTTCTGCTCATGAAGCTCAGTCTGTCATTTTGGGGTAAACTCCCAAACTGGGAAGGATAAACACATCTAATGTGAGTGATCATCTTTGGACTAACCTCTTCTTTTGTGATAAAGACAAATCAATGATGTTTTTTAGGCTTTTCATCCTTTCATTCTTAAGTAAGTTGGGTAATGTTATTCTTCTCTACCCTTACTCTAACATCATTTCCTTCTTAATTTACATCAGCTAATTATTATCTATTTGCTGTTTTGCTCTGGTTATTATGGCACCACTGTTTCTGCTTTTGGATCCTCACTATATCTGTTCAACAAAGTACAATTTTTCCCCTTTTCTTTGACTGATTTTGCTATTGATTAGACAGCTGCTACTGTGAAGACATGAAAAAGGAAGAAGAAAAAGGAGCAATGAGTGCTAGTGGACTTTTCAATCAACACTGATAAATTTAGAAAATGGGAAATATTTCCACTTTGTCATGGAATTTAATACCATTCCTGCCGCAATGCTAAGTTCTAGCAAACTCAGATGAGTTGACATAGTGAACACAGCAAGGAAAGTCCACAAGAAACTGTAATGCACAAAAACGTTGAAGGAGAATGCCAGTAATCTCTGAATATATCTGGTAAAGTAAAGGAAAAGCTACTGCAAGGAAGGATATGTCATGTTTAAACTTTACAAGCTGACTGCCAGGGGACCACATTAAAAACATTACAGTCAGAGACAGGGTAAATAGCCTGGAAAAGAATGAGCTTTCCAGTAGGCCAAAGTATCCAATGCATCTGTTGATCATACCAAAATGTGACGGACTCAGTCTAAGGGGATAAATAAAATAGCAATGATAAACTTTAACACTGGTGTATGGTGTTATCAAATAAAGAAAATATTTTCACATAAAGATATAAAAACTGGGAGCAAGAAATTCTCTAACCGACAAGTTGTCCCAGCCTATCACCATGCCATTGAAGACCTGTCTGAATGGTAACACATACAGTATAAACAGTGATCTGCTATATACAAGTCAGAAAATATTTGAAAGCGACAAAATCGTACATGTTATTAAATGACAAAACATGTTTAGAGGTTTTATTTAAAAATCTCACTGCTCATTATCAAAGTTAAAAGATCGTTTGCATACCAATACATACTGTAAACATAGGAAATTCTCATTAAGGAAAGATGGGTTTACTGTAATCTGATCTTTTACAAAAAATTACTGCAAGTTATTGATAACAGAATTTCTTTTTTACTTTCTTAAGTCTAATTCTCTTGAAAATTAAACCAATGTTTCCACTCCCTCTATCTAAAGTTCAAAGATGGTCACATTAGGAAATACCCTTGTTTATTTGTTAATCAGAAATACAATTCAAGTGGCACATATTTCCATCTGCTTCTTAGGCTGAGTTTCAGCTTCATTATATTTAACAAGAAAACAGAAAACTTGCAGTGGTCCTGTAAAGTCTTTCATGTTGCAGCTGAGGTTTAATGACGGCAGTGGAGGAAAGCAGTGGTGATGCAGAGTAAGGCCAGCCTAACTGCCCTTATCTGGCCATGGGATCTTTTTTTCCTGTCTGGCTTGCATTGCAGCAAGGAGGTTTTTCTGGTCAGGTTGCCTCCACCAAACCTGACTTAAGGAAAAGGTTGACATGCTCTGGTTGATCCAGTTTAAGGGTGATGCTCATTCTTTTTTAGGTGAATAGAGGCTCTCCTTCAATCTGTTGGTTGGGGTATGATACTAATATGAAGAAAATTATCAGGGTAGCTGAGATGTTCACTGAGCCACTGCAAAGGTGTCTCCAACATTGGTTCAATTCCATGAATCATAATTTGATTCTTCTTTATCCCATCTAATTCCAAGAAAGAAATCCAACAATAAACAAAAAATTAGGAGGGTCAAAATGTTTACCCATAAACACAATTGAATGCTTTCTGAAAACAGTGAATCAAATGGATTTTTACATCTTTCAACATGACGTGTCTATAGGGCAGGAAATGTGGACGTGGAGAAAGTTGAAATGGTGTAGTGCTTATACTACTTAAAACAGAAACTTGAGGGTTAAAATGAATCCTGATTAAAAATTCTGTTATTGTATGTGAAAGTATTAGTTCTTTCTTAATTACTAGGCTCACTGAAGACTGACGTTAATGAAACTATAGAGAAGAAAATAGACCATTACATTCATCGACCTAATTTGTGTCAGTTACACCTAAAAACACCTGCTACTATAAATATTAAAATAAGCGATATCTAGAACTAAGTGTCTGAGTCAGTGATTTCTACTGTTTGGGAGTCTTGACACATGATGGTTTTATGTTTTTGACGCCCACTTCTAGTTCTCCCCTGTGCACTCAGTATACTTTACCATGTGGACATGGAGAAAGTTGAAATGCAGCAGTGCTTCTTACCTAAAACAGAAACTTGAGGGTTAAAATGAATTCTGATTATTAATGGGAAATATATGCATATAGGTGTGTGTAGTTTGTTTTCTAAAATAAAGTTTCATTGATGCTTTTTGGTTTTGTATGCCACGGTGCTTTTTTGTTACATATATTTATCTATATACATGTCAACACCCCTTTGAAACTATAAACTTCTTGTGGATTCCCTATTCATTTAGTAGTGCTCAATCCATAAAAGGTGTTCAAAGAATATATAAATATATCTATTCACTGAAATTAAGTATCACAGATAGGTATGGATAAAAATATGGGCATAGATCATAGATAATATAATTTTAAAAATTTGGTGCTTTCTCTTAAGACAAATAATAGCTACTCAAATTTTATATTGTACTTTGACAGTTTATAAAATGTTTTCTTATAACAATCCTGTCAGGTAAGTAGGTAATATAACTATTATCTCTATTTGTAGACCAGGTAAGTGTGGCTTAAGTGATCTGTCCATGTTAACATTATTAGTAAGTGGTAGATCTACGTCATGAACCCAGGTCTTTTGGCTCCAAATCCAATGTGCTTTCCACTATGCCAAATTAACTCATTAGGAAACATTGTTCCAATGGTTTGAGATTGACCACAAAAATGGAACAGAACTCAAGAGATATCAACCCCTTAACTGGTCACCTTGATTCTATTCCTGAATCATCTTTTCTTTTAGGATCAAAAAAAGCCAGTCCCTTAGACATTCAAGAAGGGGATGTGATTGAGGGAAGGGAGAATTCACTCAACTATTTACATGAAGGAGCATGGACAATATGGACAACATCTTCCTTATCCTGAAATGGCTTTGAATTCTCATAAGAGGATCAAATGAGGTGGTGGATATAAGAAGACAATTGCCCAGAAATGGAAACCATTAAAGCAGATGCATTGGGATGCCCTCTATTCTAAAGCCCCTTCCAACTTATATAACACACCCATGGGAATTTGGGGAGGGGAGAGTAGCAGGAGGGGGGAGGGGTGTAGGTAGGGGGAGGTGATGGTGGAGGTGGGTAAATAATCAAGACAGACCTTCATATTTCCCATAACACTACAAGTGTGATGAAATGTCAATTTATAAAATTACTTCAGGAATAAGGAATTCTCTTAAAATGAAAGAAGCACAAAATATTATAAACTTACATGAGATGGGTGGTATTTGGGGGTGAACTAAAGTGGAATGACTTCCTATGTTGAAAGGACATGTATAGGAATAAGAAGTTCCTCTTAATATTTCTAAACTATATCAGCAATATGAGTGAGTAGAGCATGGTATAATGGAAAGAGCTCTGAACTTAGATTTAGAAGACCCTGGTTTGAATCTTTGTTCTGCCACTTACTACTCCTCTGTGATGCTGGACACAAATCATGTCCCACCTCAGGGCCTCCTTTTTCTCTTTATATTATAGGAAGGTTGGATGAGATCATCTCCAAGGCTCTTTCCAGCTCAAACAGTCTATGGGCCTATGAGATCTTAAAAAAGATAAAGCTATTATTTATCAAAACACATCCTAAAGTGTTCCTTTCCATTACAATAATAACTCCACAATCTTAAAAAAAAAAAATCAACCAAAAGACAAAAACTCAGCAGAGAAACAGGAAGCAAATGAAAAAAGCACTTGCTCATCCAAAGTAGTTTTTAGAAAGTACATGTTTCTCTCAAGGGAGAAAGATAGTTTGGTAGGGAGCTACCTCAAGAGACAGAAAAATCTGAGATTTACATAATTTTAAAAATCACTTTATGTTATATATGAAGCTTATTTGAGCCTCAAAACTACTCCGTAAGGTAGGTATTACTCCCATTTAGAGTTGGAGAAACCAAAGTTTAAAGAGGTTAAGGAACTTGCTCATATCTATACAGAGAGGGTAAGAGGTAGGATTCCAACCCAGTCCTTCCTGATTTCAAGTCCTGCACTTCAACGACTGCACCACATTGCCTTTAGTTGAAGGCAAGCCTCCTTAGATCTTTGCTCACACTTAGATCTTATTTAATATCTATTATAAACACAATTCTGTCAAATGCTGTTACCTAGTTTTCAAGTCCACAACGGATCAGAAGTAGTAACAGGGATGGGAAGAGAAATTGTAACAGGCAGACATCATAAAAAGAACAGAAATAACAGCTGGCAACTTGATGGCAAGATGAAGAAAGAGGGGAAAAAATGATAAAAAGGGAAAGAATTCAAAAAAGCACAACAGTCTGTAGTGCCACTGTATAGGGGAAACTCTTCATATTGTTATTGGAACATTGTCTATATCAAAGCATAGCATGATGAATGGTACTCATAATGAAAACCAATAGTCATCAAGAAAGAGTGAAGTTGTATTTGGTCTACGCTTTAACAAGACAGGGAAGCAAATAACACATCTTAAGATCCCAGGATAAGATCTAGAGCTAGAAATGGCTTCGGAAACCATTTAGTCCAATTTCATCATTAAATTTTTTTTTTTTTTTTTAAAGAGAAGGGAACTTAGGTCCAGGGAAGTCAAATGATTTGCTTAAGGTCACAAGGTGGTAAGTAAGAGGTTTCTATCCAAATAATTTAAAATAAAAAGGTATTTTTAATATTTAAATCAGCAAATACTTCAAGATCCAAAATGTCTAAGCAGCAGAGTGGTGTAGTAAAAATGGGGTGAGCCTCGAAGCCCCATGTTCAAGGAGTCTAACTCCATTACTTACTAAGTGTGTTGTAATGGTCAAGTCATTCAACCTCCATGAGCTGCTTCTTTGCAAAACATTGTCTACCGAAGTAGGGGTGAAAGGGAGGAGGTGAAAGAGAAGTAAGGGTTAAGACAGACAAGATGTCTGAAGCCACTTTCAGCTCTGACCTTCTACAATCCTGTGACTAATTCCAAGAGAGTTCTACATTGCCATGGTTTTACTTTAGTGAGTCTTTCTTATACTGCTTTAAAGCACTTCCACCTCAGTTCTCCTCTCTCATTATACTGAATTTCTTAGAAATATTTCATATTCTCAGAATCACTCCTTATCAATAACTCAGTCAAAAGGGGAAGTAGTAGTGGTCTAAGAGTTCCTTATCAACAAAATTTTTCTTCAAGCCAGAGTCACCTTTAAGGACTCCCTGTCTGATGCACGGTATAGAGGGTTACTATTTGAACCCTTAGAAGTTAACACTTTTTGGTTAAAGTATCCTTTAGAAAAGAAAGCAGAATATTGGCTATCATACAATCCACTCATAAGCTGTGTCTGAAAGACAAACTATCACCCCTCTGATAGGTCATTTTCATCTAGGACAGATGGCTATCACAAGCTGTACCATCAGAGGCAATTAGAGTTCATTATCAGACTCAAGAGCAGTGTAAATCTAATAGACTGGGTGGGAAAAAATTATGAAAGATTTAAATGGAGGCCAGTCAGCACTGGCTCCCTAGTTTAGTGACTAAAAGCCAATCTTCCACAGAATGCCAGAAAAAAACCAAATAATATCAATTACTTAGTTTATATACTCAGAAAGAAGTGCTTTGCCAAAAAAATTTCTCACATCATAAAATGAACTTCAGGTCCCTGGCAATTACTAGCTTATGTTCTTTAGCTAATTGTTTTAAAATCTGTATTTTGGAAAACTATTGGTGGGGAAGAGGGCAAGCCTGTGATATCTAATCTCTGGTCTTTGACAGAATTGAGTTATCCAAAGAAAAACCTGCTAAGATGAATGTCTCCTCAGAGGGTTTCTAAACTGAGTGAATATTTTGGTTACAAAATTCAAAAGGAGGGTGAGAGGAATTAAGCATGTCATAGGACATGCCAGAAAGCACATAAGCTATTGTTTTTTAAAATCTAAATGCCATAAACAACAACAGTGCATGACTGGTCAATTTTAGAACAGTTAAAAAAAGAATTGGGAGACATTTAGTAGAGTTTTTGTGAAACACTAGATGATATTATAAAACTAAGTTGGATTTTTGGTAAATGTTTCTTTGTGTTTCAAAGTGAGAATCTAGAATTTACTACTTAGGGATGAGAAAAATGTCAGTATAAAACAAATGACTCAGGATAAAAATGTTACTTCATATCTCACCCACTCAGTTTACTTTTATTTTAAAAGCCAATTTAATGTTTAAGTAGACCAATGCTTGAGACAGTAATTGAGCGAACGGGCCTGATACGAGTTTCAGCTCACTGTTCTTCATTTCAGTATGAACCTGAAACTGCTACTACCCTAATATACTTCACAACACCAAGCACAGTCATTCATAAATACTTCAGCTTTTTTAATAAGAAAAAAGAAAATGAAGGCCAGAGACATTTTATATTTATTAAAATAGAAAAGAAACTGAATTTATGTCATTATTTAGGCAGCAAATCATGTGAAAAGTTTGCTTAAAAAAAAAAAAAGGCCAGGATCTCCATGAATTATGATATTTTGCCTTTAAAAATGTAAAATGAACA